AAGAACGTCGAATCTGAATCACTTGAAAAAACACGGGGGTGCTTAACTTTTTCCAGGTGTATATATTATTCAATCAATGAAAGCATCTTAATTATTTGCAACATAAAATTTCTTAAATGATATAAATCCGAAACATTTTTGCATAGTAATTCTTGATTTCCTTAAATTCAAGATAAAAGGTGACAGTTATGTACTGGCCTTATTTTTTTAAAATTCAATTTTAGGGAGCTGTATAAACTTTAATACAAGAAAGCTTACCTTCCCAGCTTCATCGCTCCATGCTTCTCCACATTTGTAGTATTCTTCTCCAGCCCACCAGAACTTTTCAGCACGCCCTTGAACTAACTGCACACTGGAAATACCGATAGCTATCAACCAGATAACCACTAAAATAAGCAGCCCTTTAGATCTTTTGGAACTTCTGCGTAGCGGGTACATTATAGCGTAGAACCTATACGGACATAAGTTAGACATACTTTAATTTCCTGCTTTGGTACCTAGATTAGGTTTTCTTGATTTCTAGTACCTGCACATAACTTAAATTCAATTTGATTTCCTACACTTATTTGTTCGTTATTGCTATTTTTGTTTCAGCACAAAACCACACATTAGACTAACTGCGCGCTGTCCACCACGGGATATCGAATCCAGGATTTTAGCATTGTAAGTATTTAAACTTACCTCTGACCCACTGGGGGACTCTTTCACTTGTGTATAAACTAAACTCAGTCTGAATTCTTGTAGTTGATCGTAAGTTAGATATAATCTGATTTTCCGCTAACAAACGAGTAGTCATTAATCCGAGCATACGTAAAGGTTTTAGTTTTCACAAACGCTGCTTATCAAAAACATAATATATAAAAATGATATGATCATTAAAAATATATACAAAATAATAGACTATTTCAGAACATAAAAAACTGTTCATTTGCTCTTGGTACCAGTTTTACCATTTAGAACAACTAAAGCTGCTCCAGCCATTTAAAAAAAGATATATTCTAGTTTTAAATCCAAAAGTTATGCTAAAATATATTAAATAACTTTCGGTGGAAACCTGTTTCCATTCACACAGTAAGTTTGCAAATTTCCAGCTACAAGCATAAATTTATTTTCATTGAACTATTAGACTTGATGAATGAAAATAACAAACTTGAAAAGCAATATCGTCATATATTCATACATATAGAAATCATTATCATTCATCTTTGAACACAGCTGCACAATAGGCGTTATAGAAAATCACCAAAAAGGGTAAAACTTAAATTTGTTGACCATCTAGAGATCACAGCTGATACGTACGATAAAATTTGCTGTACCAATAAGATATTTTTTCTATGTAATTTGATTGAGAATACATTAAGCGATATTGCATTGATTTTGTCATTTCCACTGAGTAATTTGAATAAAATCTAGTGTTAAAATCTTTTTTAAACAAAAAAAGCATATAAGCACTTTTGCTTAATGAAACCATCAGGACTCTAAGTTTCGGTTTTTGACATCAATATTCATTGAGGCTAAACTAAGTAATGTTATTTTCCCATCTTAAGCAAGTTCAGATAAGGGGTCGTCATTTCTCCTTTCTATTCTCCTAAACGTCGCTTTAGAAAGTTTTTTCTGAAATGGCACACTCGAAATCTAGTTGATAAGGGGGTATTTTATAAGTGCAGCAAGATGAATAGCTTGTTGCTCACTACCCTATTCATTCGCCTCAGAAAGTATTTCAAACTGCACCTGATAAGTCACCCATAGAAGTTTTCCATCAAAATCTGTTGTTTTTCTCGATTGGTCGATGCTGTTGAACTGGCCATCTGCCGAAGCTCACAACTTGGTGAGATAATGGTGTAAGTGGAGTAGTCCAAGAAGGCCCTGCAGTCAGCAGTCACAGGCGGTACAACAGTCGTGGCAACAGGTGTAAAACAAATGGATTTTTCTATTCCATATTGCATAGTTAATGATGTTTAAGGTTGGAATTCTTATGCGGATGTAGAGAGAGGTGTTGTCAGATTGATTCTTGCATTTGCCAGTTAAATTTCTTAACGTTTCGTCTTGGCAGTGATACCATTTTGTATCTCGTTGATTTTCTTGTGTACATTTACTATAACTTCTTAAATATTTCTATAATTCTTTTGTGCTTCTTTGATATCCTTTTATACTTCTTCGAGTTTTATTGTAATAATGCTTCTGTACATTTCCAATGGCTTTCTCAATCTTTTCTTCAACCAAATTTAAGTTTTTTTCTTTTGTTAACTTACGTCTTATTCTCGTATTTTCTTGAATAATATTTTTCATCTAGTTTCCCCCTTTCTTTTTTATCTTTTATTGATCTTGTGTCCCTTTATACTTGATCTTATATTTCTTTCTCCTTTCTTTCTCGTAGTTGTGTTACTCTTCTTCATTTCATTAAAATTCATGTATGAATATTCAGTCAAAACTAAATCAGTAGAATTGAAGAAACTATCTTATTTTGTAGTTAATTGAAATGAGCGATGCCTAATGGCTAGTGCATGATGAGCTGCGGAATAAAGGGTTCAGGGTACGAGACTTAATCCTTCTGAACTCACTTCGCACTTTCAGGCTATTGATGCATCATTAAAGTTACAGTCAATATTGATATTCTATGCAATGAGTCGGATAGAGACTTTGTTGCGGTTGATGCTGATGACTGACTGCTCTCTCTAGGAGTCTTTGACTTGGTCGTTTAGGCCGTATCTGGCGTAATGTGCTGTTCATGTTGAAAAGTTCAACTACATTCTGGTTAAAAGCCAAAGTGTAGCCTCAAGCCTATGTAACTTGATAGTTTCTAATTAATGTTGTATCGATATATTTTCGTGAATGACAGTAATTCTCAATTTTCGCAATTTCTTCTAAACATAATGTTCAAACTGTTGTAAAGAAATAGAAAAAAATATTAAATGTTATTATAACCATGTTGATTTATTAATCTTTAATCACAGGTATGCTTCAACATAATTTCAAACTTAAGCAGTTTGTTTGTTATGAATTTCGCGCAAAACTACACGAGGGCTATCTGCGCTAGCCGTCCCTAATTTAGCAGTGTAAGACTAGAGGGAAGACAGTTAGTCATCACCACCCACCGCCAACTCTTGGGCTACTCTTTTACCAACGAATAGTGGGATTGACCGTCACATTATAACGCCCCCACGGCTGAAAGAGCGAGCATGTTTGGTGTGACGGGGATTCGAACCCGCGACCCGCAGATTACGAGTCGAACGTCCTAACCACACTTAAGCAGTTGTAAAACAGGAAATTGTAAGACATTACCTTAAGATGTTAAAGCACAAAAACAGGCGAAATAGGTAAAATAGTAAAATATTTGCAAATGATTATGTTTAATAGATGTGCACTGGAAACGTATTCTTAAAAAAAACGTAATTTTAAATACTTTCTTCTATTCACTCAGCAAAGTTCCTCTAAAGACATTCTAAACATACACATTAAACAGGAATATTATACAAACAACCGAATAAGAGTTAATCAGCAACGAATATTTTACGACGAACCCATTTGCATTGTTTATTTTGTTCTAGTCGTTGCTATGGTAGTTGCCTTGCTATAAATCATTGCAGTCAGTTTTCTTTGTAAAAGAGAACTAAGAGAAACAACAGAATTCAGATGATGAGCCATTAATATTAATAAAAACAATGTGAACAGCTGAAAATATAGAACAATATTGTTGTCAAGAGCATGATAGACAATGTGAAAAAAAACCGCTGTTATTATACTGAATATAATAAGCATATAGAGACTCTCTAATGTATTAACAAAGATGTTTTGGAAATAAATTATTGAACTGTTTTACCTGTATATAGCGACTTTCTGCTGTGTCAAGATTTTATGCAAGCAAAGGGCACAGTAGTCAGCTCTAATGTAATTTACTCGTATATAAACGTTGGATCACGCAATGATATTCTTGTACTTTTGAATGCTGCTGAACGAACATGTTCAGAGCTGATACGAAAGTCTTGTTAATATGTCACGAAAGGAAAAACAATAGTACCAAAAAAATGAATACTTTCGTAGAGAAATTTATATTACAAATCGAAAACGGGTCGGGTAAATTGAATAACATTAACATTGTAATTATATTCATTGGATGTAGAAAAATAAAGAAAAAAAATACCAGAGTCATACTTTGAAACATAATAAGCGAACCACTGTATTTATTGTCTATTCTCAAATTGAGAGTTTACAAACAAATATAAAGAAATGTTTAAGATTTTTTAGAAACACCAAATTCTGTCACATTCCACTGTACAAGCAGGTTTTACCAAATTAGAAATAGAGCTAGAGCTTTCTACTGAGATGCCATGAATCTACTTTCACTCATTGTTTTGTATTGTAATAAAAACGTTTTCCAGTAATCTATAAGATTAGGGCCCGGCATGGCCAGGTGGTTAGGGCGCTCCTAATCGTAATCTGCGGGTCGCGGTTCGAATCCGCATCACACCAAAACATGCTCGTCATTTTAGACGCGGGGGCGTTATAATGTGACGGTCAATCTCACTATTCGTTGGTAAAAGAGTAGCCCAAGAATTGGCGGTGGGTGGTGATGACTAGCTGCCTTCCCTCTAGTCTTACACTGCTAAATTGGGGACGGCTAGCGCAGATAGCCCTCGTGTAGTTTTGCGCGAAATTCATAACAAACTAGCAAACAAACTATAAGATTAGATAAAGTATTCATATAAATTTTGGTTTTAGAACAATTACGGCATATGTGTGTGTGTGTAAAAAGACATGGAGATACAGAGAGTTGATTACGTTATTATTTGAACAATTCTGAATATGCAAGTTAGTGAGCTACGTGATCACCATAGCTGACATAAAGTCACAGTGGAAAGGCATCTATTAGATATGCATTTTGACTTTGTTTGGCGTTGCATAGGTAGTGCGACGCTATTATAAACTGATCACTTTTTGGAAGGGTGTGTAACAACCCTTTCCGAAGCAAAATATTCATAAACTCAGATCGTAAAGATATGTTCATCTCAGGGATTTAGAATTTTTAAGACGAAAATATGCTTTGTACTTAACGGCATTGGAAAACAAATGAATTTAGATCAACATGGGAAACTGTACCATACACAAAGAGACTTGTAACAAGTCGCTCCCTAGCTATTGTTAGCAAAGTTCAGTTTCTTGTAGCACCAAGGTCAGTGGTAAAAGCCACCCAGGTATACATACAGCAGCATGAAACATAATCATAAAAAATCTCCATCTACATAATGAGGCCAACAGGGTATGGGTTCATCAAAGTAAAGCTTTCAGCTATTGCACCTGTTCAATCGTCGCATACCACAAGCATCTGGAGAAGTAAACGGGCGTTCATGCTATTCTGTGTTTTCTGTGCGATGGGAATGTTGAAGAATGGCACTCAGAAACTACCCTTCTCGTAAACAAAAGGATTATAGAAGGCATGCAGGAAGAAGTGGT